GAGTTCAAAAACCATTTGTTGACTAAACAACATCAAGCAGCCATAATGTCCTGCATTGTAAAGATAACATCAAATATACAGAGACATCCTGAATTAACATCGAAGATGACGGCAGATCAATCAATGGAACATGAACTCGCTCAGCGAAATAATTTAAGTGAAGAAATGGAAAAATGTACCGAAACACTTTCGATCCTCGATCAGGGCGTTAAAACATTAATGAGTGATAATGTACGAATAGCATCCAAATTCCAGAGAAATGAATATAGTATTCAATCTCCACCCAGTGATCATCAACAGTTAAAACTATCAATTGACGAAAAAGAGTCATTTTTAGCCAAGATTGCACCAGACCGACAAATAATTCAAGAAAACCTAACAAAAACTAAAGAAGATATTCTAACTATCGAGTACACTTCTTATGATGGTACGCTCATTTGGAGAATAACAAATGTGAGCGATAAAATGGCAGATGCACAGAGTGAACGGCAAACTAGTATTTATTCTCCACCATTNGATATAAGATGCGAGCACGACTCTATTTGCATGGAGATGGGAATGCGAGAAGAACACACATGAGTCTATTTTTTGTATTGATGAAAGGAAAGTACGATGCAGTACTGAAGTTTCCTTTTAATTATAATGTCACTTTTGTCCTTTATGATCAATCCGGTCAAAACCGTCACGTAATCGATTCCTTTCGACCTGATACAAAATCAAACTCATTTCAACGACCACAATCAGATATGAACATCGCAAGCGGCATACCTAAGTTCTTTCCTCTACGAATGATTCAGCAAGACGACAATAATTATGTAAAAGATGACACAATGTTTATAAAAATTCTTGTTGATTTTGGTGATGTTCCGAAAATGATGTTACCTTTTGTGATTAGTTTAAATCCAGGACTTCCACTACATGACCAACAACACTTAATTAAACAAGAACTAGAGAAAAGAACGCAAGCTGCTGCTAGCTAAGATTCTTTGCCGACTATTGCTGCATGAGTACTCCAAAGGAACCTTTAGATAATTTTAAATTAATGCAGACTAATTTATGACTCAAAAAGAGATGAAAAATGACGTCACATGAGTTTAAATAGCCAAAATAATGTAAATTTGTTTGTAGTAACTTAAATTAATTTACATCAATTTCGCAGTTAAAATCAACTAGAATCAATTTCTAAGCTCAAATTACCTTCAATTAGTTGGAGAAAACATTAATTTAAATTAGTTTTAAATGAACTGGTTTAAATTAATTTATGTCGAACTCACTCGAAATAATTTTGTGCTTGAAATTGATCGTACTCTCAAATTTATTTAAAACATGTTTTTGTGATCGATTTGGAATAATTTTGATAATATAAATTAGTTTTAATTAATTTTGAGAGTCGAAATTAATGTAGATACGTTTAAAATGGTTTATTTTTCAGCAGCGCTCAAAATTAATTTGAATTAATTTAAAGGATAAGAATATTTCGAATTCTTTGGATATAAATTAATTTAAACTAATTTCTACTGTCAAATTTATTTAACCCCTTAACTGTTAATTTTTTGTCAGTAACTAAAAATCTTTTTACTCATTAACTTTTACAAATTCAAAGTTATTTCAGACTAATAAACCTTTTGTTCATAAATATCTTTTATTCTTATATGTATAACAGATGTTACTTTTTAATATGAAAGAGCAAAACATTTCTTTCTGTGAGTGTTTTCAAAATTGAACGTTTTGTTCAAAAGTTTAGTACAATATGATAGATACGAAAACATGGATCGACACAAAGTCCAACGTTGCAAACCGAACATTCGTATGTTGTTTCACGTCGTCTTCGATTGCTCTGAATTTCAATGTAGGTTCAACTGATGGTCAACCTCTTCTAACTACTTGATTTGGAAGATGATCATGTAAATTGTATTTCAATAAAGAACGAGCAAGTGCTATACAGAATTGAAGTTGTGTCATCATGTTATCGTTTGTCTGCTGAGTCTGTATTTTATATAAATGATAAGAATTCAGTATAGCTAAATTCAATAAAATCATAAATATTTTTTTGTAATATTTTTTCATTCTCTTTCGAGGAAGGCAGTAAGGAGCTATTTGTTGATCGGTCAGATCGATCCCACCCCTAGTAACATTGTACTCGTGCACGCATGTTGGTTTTTCAATTTGTGTACCTCTCTTATGAATAATCGTGATGTCATCTTTGTGATATGTTAAGAGCATATTAACATATTTCTTATCCAACCATTTCAGAGCTAGTACTTTTTTATAATATCGAACGATTCCCTCATTCTTTTCAAGTTTAATATGTCGAAAATTAATTGAAAGACCTCTGCGGTTGAATCGAACAGTCCCAACTGCGTCTGTCTTTTGTTTTACCAGTTCAATATAGAGTTTTGGTGAATAATAATAATTATCCATCACAATACAATGTCCCAAGTCTAAGTAATCTTCCACCAATGTCATTACTATTCGACTTGATAAAGATAAATTAGAGAATTTTTCCTTGTAATTGGTATTACGACCAGTATAAATGATAAAGTCAAGAACATAGCTATTTGTATCACATATCATATAGAACTTGAATCCAAATCGTGCTCTTTTGGAAGGAATAAACTGTTTCCACGATAAACGACCATCATTAGAAAATTAGGTACTTTTGCACCAAATCAGATTAAAATTGGGTACTTGGTGTAAAATTTTTCGGTAAATCCGACAGCGGGTTCATTTTGATTCTACTTTGACTTCTTTTCTGGCGTCCACATAATCGACGTGGTTTTTGCCTAAATTTTATTTTTCTCATTGGCGCCTTTTTATACCAATGAGAAAAATAAAATTTAGGCAAAAACCACGTCGATTATGTGGACGCCAGAAAAGAAGTCAAAGTAGAATCAAAATGAACCCGCTGTCGGATTCACTGAAAAATTTTGCGCCTAGCGTCCAATTCTAATCTAATTTGGTGCAGCGCGGCAAAAGTACCTAATTTTCTAATGAGTACAAATGCAAACTTTCGTCAACGCATAAGAATCTTCCGGGTTTATATAATCTTCTGAATGATGAACGTAGACCTTCGATAACTGGCTAGATCTTTTTCAATTTGGCCTCAGAACCTTCATCCGTTTCAAAATGTAACATCTTGAGTAATATCAGGAATCGATCAGCAGTTAGTATTTTGCTGAAAATAGGTGTAGCTAAAAGTTCATCAGTTGTGATATACATCTGAAGTTCTGGCTTGCGAATTATTCGTTACAATATCAGTATAGAAAGAAAAATATTAAATTCTTCTATACTCGTTGGCTGCCACTTGTTTATACGTGAATACTGTTGACGAGGATCCGAAGTATTACACATAATTTCTGCATAACGATTTGTTTCATAGATGATTTTTTTGTACCAGATTTCTAGGGAAAATATAATTCCAGAATTTGATGGGAGTTTGTGCTCTATAGGCTTGTGCTTCGCGATTTCCAGAAAAACGAAAAGGATCTCTCTTCACCATTGGAAAAATTGTCCATTTACTTATATCAGTTTCATCAGCTGTATCAGTATTAGTATCAGCATCACTATTGGACGAAGATGAAATCGATGGTACCAATCGATCGTTACTTTCAATTTCGCTATCACTGTCAGAATCGTTGCTTGACATCTTTTTAGCGTGATAAAAAAGAAACACAATCGAGGAGTGTAGAATGCACACGAACGAAAATACGATATTTTTATTAGCGAGATTTATTCCACATGCACAATTCGTTACACACAGATATTTTCTGAATTACGTCATATAGTTTCTGATCTTTTTTCTTTTCTCTCACACACGTCACTTGTAAAGAGTGTACAGTAGGATAGTAGAATACTGTTTGAACTTGTAAATTTT